TTGGACGTGGATGAAAGACAACAACTCCCAGAATGCACTGCACCGCAGGCCACTCCCACTAAGGTCAGGTTTACAAGACATTTACTTCATCACATACGGCCATTTCCTCAACTGATTCCGAGATTTCTTCCAGAAGGAATTGGCATCTTGTAAATTCCTGTCAGAAAACAGACTCTGTCTGTTTCCATAGAAACAATGCGAGCACTGACACTATCAGTCTGCCCCAGCTCGAGCCGGCCCCGGCTCCTCGTCCTCAACGCAGCAGCTCCCTCGTCGTTATACTGCGGCTCGTAGAGATAGCCACGAACATCTGATTCGAGCACAAGACCTTTCGATCCATATCAGTTTGCGTTCTTCTCACTCATAGAGCCTGTTAGCATAGCTTCCTAACAAGATGGAGGACGTTAAGTTTCGATTCTGGGAGTGCGTTCCCACTCACTGATCTCTAATAGGTCTGTAGCTTCAGTGGGTGTTCCCCCCCAATGGCGGGTTGAAAATATGAGGAACTAGCATTGTAGTTTCACCCCCTCTAACCAAAGCAGCCTACAATCAGAGGCTCCTTTTCAGAAAAGAAATACAGATCTTTCCTGTCTCAGGGGAAAATGAGGGCAGGATGCACAACCATTCAAAAATACTACCAGGTGTCTAATGATACAAAGATTAATGCAAATAGGTGAAGTATCCCTTTAAGAACAAGTTCTTTAAAATCAATATAATGGAGTGTAGGCTGATCACTCCTGTGTTTTATATTTGATTTGTTTTCTGATTCAGCATCAAACAAGGATTCCTTGCATCCCTCCATGCATCTCTGGTGGGAGGAACTGAGATGAAAGTGGAGGAGGCAAGTGAGGGATGCATGGAACTGAGACGTACCCCTAGACTGTAAATATTACTGGACAAACCCTGACTCGTCTGTTACGTAGGCAGCAAATGAGCCCAATCGACGGCCGCATCCATATTGGATTTGCAGTCTCAACCTAACTTCTGATCAACCTAGCAAAAGCAGTAAGGCGGGACCGGCAGGACTTAACTCCGCCCATTCAGCTCAACATTAGCAGTCCACTTGACAACGTAGCTAACGGCTAGGCCGCTATCATCCCCTACTCCTGCTCGTCCTCAGAAAACTCTACAAACAGTAAGTTAACATTTGACTTTTCTACAACACAGTTAAAACTAATTATATTCAACCCAAATATTTAATTAAAGTCTTAAAACTACACTTTTTTAAATATACAATTATGGTTATTAGTTATTTGTCAGAGCAGTTACTAGACTTTGTCAGTGTTAGCAGAGCAAAGTACATTAGCAAAGTTTTATCACAAAATGTAAGAAACATTTTGAGGCTAATCTTTACATTTAAATTCACACATTGTGTTACAAATCATTACTTGGATGTAAGAACATGTTTAAGGATAAGAAGTCTGTTTTAAAACGATAAAAGACAGAGCTTTGGCATCTTTTTTCTTTTCGTTGTTGATAAAACTGTTAGATCATAGATTGTAAATAAATGAGACATCCAGAAGAAATCAATATTACAATGCATACAGTTCATGTTACTGTTCTGACAAAAAGAGGAATGTCTGTGTCTTATATTTACTGATGTCATCAGCGATGACATTGAACATGACAATTGAAAAATAAATATTTAATATTTATTATAAGACATTTGTTTTCTATAGAATCCTGCGAAGTCTGTGGCCAGTGTCAGCTTCACACCAAAAACTAGTGTTAAAAAAGTATTAGAAAAAAATGTGTTTAAGACTGGCATCTATTATTAGGAGTTGCAGCTACCTCGTTCAACATTATTCCTGCAGATGTGGCTAATAACAAAAAAACATTTTGTCTTGTCTGAGGCATTAATTGAACACCTTTGTATTTCTCCTATAGACACAGTGTGGATTATTGGTGACTTGTCCGTCGAGGTGCCCAGAGAGCTGCAGAGACAGAGGAAGAAACCTGAGCCTCAACAACATCTGTATTTGTTGGTTCTTCTGGGGTGGACTTCGGTTGCTTCTCTTCTTCAACTCCCTGTGAGGGAGGTCTCCCCCAGATGGCCTGAGTGATGTCACCCACAGGCTGAGAGCTGGAGCTGAGGCAGGTTTTAAACCTCCTGACAAACCATTCCACAAACCGTTCCACCGCATTCCTTCTGGATCTCTTCCAGAAGGATCTGGCATCTTGGAAATTCCTGTCAGCAAACAGACTCTATGTCTGTGTCCATAGGAAAACAATGAGAGCAGTCTCCTTGGACTGGCACCCGCCTGGCCAGTTTTCCTGGGACTCGCGGAGGCCAGACAAGTCTGGAAGACTGGAAACCATGGAATCCATCGCCCTCTCCTCTCTCCACTGTCCAGCACCTCAGCGTCTCTGCCTCAGCCCAGGCCTCAGCAACCCTGTGCCTCAGAGCCACAACCTCCCTGTGTTCCAGCAGGGCGCCGTCTGCCCCAGTTCCTGTTCCATCAGAGCGCCGTCTGCCCAGTTCCTGTTCCATCAGAGCGCCGTCTGCCCCCTGTTCCTGTTCCAGCAAAGCGCCGTCTGCCCCCTGTTCCTGTTCCAGCAAAGCGCCGTCTGCCCCCTGTTCCTGTTCCAGCAAAGCGCCGTCTGCCCCCAGTTTCTGTTCCAGCAGAGCGCCGTCTGCCCCCAGTTCCTGTTCCAGCAGAGCGCCGTCTGCCCCCTGTTCCTGTTCCAGCAGAGTGCCGTCCGCCCTAGTTCCTGTTCCAGCTAAGTGCCGTCTGCCCCCGTCTGCCCCCAGTTCCTGTTCCAGCAGAGCGCCGTCTGCCCCCAGTTCCTGTTCCAGCAGAGCGCCGTCTGAATGTCAGAATGTCTATAGCTTTTACGTCCCTGGTACCAGCAGAGAAGTAACTGACAACCAAAGAAACTGACAAAGCCAACGAATCATTGCAATCAATAAGAAAAGGTTTATTTTACAGTTTTTTCCAGTTGCTAACACACTAAAATGACATGCATAGCACAATTATTTAAACTGAAACACAGAGAGCAAAACCTCTTATCAAGTCTCCAAAAGTCTAAACACATTTTCTGCTTTACACACATTTTGCAATTCAAAATGGTACTTTTTTAAATGCACTGAACACGGTTCTCTGTATAAGACACAACAATCTGACATAAAGTCACATGTTTGTCATTTCAAAACACTGCCATTCAAAATAACACTACATGAGCTAATTGGCCAACGTATGTGCCACCTGGCCAAACACCTCAACGGTTAATTGTTATCACTTCAATCAGGAAGTAAGCACTATGAAAAGACCACAAGTGAGCACCTTTTTTTCTTTTTTTTTACAACAACACTGGAAGACGTTGCAGAGAGAGGAAGAGGAAGAGGGAGGGTGAGAATGAGAGGGGGAGGAAGAGTGTGAGGTAGGGGTAGAGCTGGTAGAGGAATTCATGGCCAAAGAAGAAAACAACTTTCAAATGAAATCAGAGCAACCTTAGTTGATCATGTCATCAACCATGGGCTGACAATGCGAGAGGCTGGACAGAGAGTGCAGCCCAACTTGAGCCGTTTTACTGAACTGGTATATGTAGTACTGACTTGTTTGGTGAAAAATAAAAAAAAATAGTGTTTCAACAGCATGTGTGTGTATCTGCAAATATTTCTGTGCATGTGAACAATCTGAAGAATTTTCTACAATTCAAACTATTTTACTATTATGGCAAAGCATACTAAAGATGAGAGTGCTTTTCATTATGCCCAACAGTGTTGGTTAGACAAAAATCTGGTAATATGAATGAAGTGTGTGCCATTTGTTGCAAAAGTTTGATTTTGATTATGTTATATGTAATTTTGGTTGCAGTGCTTCATTTTACAGGATATGAGGTATTTTGTAGTTTGGGTGTGTGGTTTTGTGAATTGTGTTAAGTATTTTGATAAAACCAGCCTAGTTTGCAAAATTGTGTTTCAGCAATTGGAAAAAACTGTACAAAAACACAACTGAATTTAATGAACTAGGTGGGGGTGATGATTGGACAAAGTGGTTGTGCTAAATAAATAAACTCCACAAAACAAAACCGGACCTAACTAGTCTCTAATCTCATGAAAAAGAAATCCGAACACAAACCTAACTTCCTTCTCTAAAAATATTCAGAGAAAACTACATAAGTGGCACAAACCAGACTTACCTAGTGTTTCTAACAAAGTCAACTATGGATGTGTAGCAAATGTAGGGGGACCCCAATTTACCTTGTCCAACCTCACCACAAACCTTTCAACACAGCAAGACTGACAGAGAGCTCCCACTGCAGAGCTGGTGTGTTCTTATATCGAGCAGGTGATGTTCATTAGGTGATTACCTACAGGGGAACAAATCAAAAAGGGAGTGGGGTCTCAGGCTGCTGGTATATAGTAAATGGACTTGAGTTTATATAGTGCTTTTCTTGTCTTCAGACTACTCAAAGCTCTTTTACATTGCATGTCATGTATACACATTGATACACTGATGGTAGTGATTGCTATGTAGTATCATCAGAAGTAACTAATCTCATTCATATACCACCACTGAAACAGCAGGAGCAATTCAAATCAGGGTTAAGTGTCTTGCCCAAAGACACATTGAACATGTTGACCGGCTGGGAATCAAGCCCCTAACCTTCTGGTTGAGAGGTGACAACTCTACCAACTGAGCCACAGCCGCCCCCGGCTGTAACAACAGCATACTGATTGAACAAGTTAATATACAAATATCAAGAATAAACATGAGAATGGGGGCTGCCAGTGTCCATAAACGTGCTTGACATTACTACTCCACACATGACACTTAATAAACTAATTCTAACACGGCTACTTCTGCTAGTTAAGAAGGTATCTTCTTCTTTCAAACAGTTTCTACTTATGTTGCAGTTTCTTCCTCCCTCACTATACACATAATCATGCCTAACTCTTTTTTTTCTCACTTCCTTAGAAGAGGTGTGTTATATTATCAGTGACCAAGTGTGTGCCATCACTTATCTGAATCACTTTAGACAGTTCGGCTGCAGAGAAACATCAGACATTGGTGCTGGGACTTCATTCAGGTGAGATCTGGTAACTTTAAAATGTCAGTGTTGTGGTCTTATTACAAATACAATTGAAAAGAAAAGGAAGTGCAAACAGTCCTGAGAATAAATATGAACCTGATGATATATTTATGTTTGTTTGGTGGGGGTGGTTACTCTGTTATTTCTTAAAATCACAAGTATGTGTTTGAGTAAAAAAAAGTGTGTTTGAAATAAATCTCTTAAAAGTTATTTGCAAATAAACTCTGAGCTTATTTACTACGACGGAGGACTAGGGCCACGTAAAGAAAATCTAAAAATTCTAGTTTAAACTTGTAAATTTACAGGATTAAAGTCGTAAATTAACGGGTTCGAGACCAGCATGTGAGAAAATTATGAAAGTAGAACTCTTAAAGTCTTTTCATCTTCAGACACAACATCCTCCCAGTCAGTGTGGTTCTTTCTTCAGTTTCTTGCAGTATCTTTTCAGGGTCCTGATATTTTAAAGACAATGTGAAGATGATGATGTGCCAAAAGCATGTGTAGTTTCATATCTGCATAAGTAAACAACACAACTATTTGTGTCTGTTATCGGTCTGCCTTGTTAAAGTGTCTCATGTGCAGAGACAGTTTGTGTCCTGTTCATCATTTTACAGATAAACAAAGTCTTTCAAGTTGAAGTGAAAACTTCTCTTGAACTGTTTTTACCGACTACACAAGGAAGTAGCCTATTTCCTAATTAGTGAAACCTTTACTAAAGTATAACAAGATGTGCACGTTTGTCATTTGAGAACAGGATGCTGCTGCTCTTCTGATATAGACTAAATAAAGACTTTATTCTTTTATTCTTTAAAGACTTTAAGGGTTCTCCTTTTATCAGTTTCATGCAGGCTGGTCTCGAACTTGTAAAAAAAAATTTTTTTAACGTGGCCCTTATCCTCCGTAGTATATTAACAAATTCAAATGATTAATATTTTTCTCTCTTAATATAATCACACATTGTTTCCTTTCCTCCAAACCAACATAACCCACTGAGATGTATTTCTAGAAATGTTTAAATTTTCCAGGAAATGACAACAGCTGAGGTGTGAAGAAGAGTTTTGTGGTTATCTTTGAAACTCTCCCTGCGAGTTAGAGTTAAATGATCTAATGACATTGATGAATCAGATGCAGAATCAGGGCAGCGGAGGATTATTCAAGACCCATTTATTTACTTTAATTAGCAGATTGTGATATTTGAAATGTCTGAAAAAACACTGTTGAGAGACGCTATGTTTGATTGGCTATGGTTGTTGCTTAACTGAAGGAAACACTGTGTTTGGCTTAAATTCAAATTATAAACATTAAAACATTTCATCAACTGAGAAAATCTGAAATTATAAAACAAACAAACTACATTTTTTGACTTTGACTCAGTGTGACTGAACTTGTATTTGACTTGAGGAAATCAAAGATCTGGTGCTTTCCTGAGGTTCAATTCATATCTGTGAAAATGATCTTGACTCGAGTAAAGTCTCCATGATGAAAGCCCCATGTTAAACATATTCAGCAGTCCTGACCAATGAATCATCCTCTTAGATGTCACACTGCCTGTATCCTAATCAAAAGGGATCATTTAAAACATAGAAATGTATATAAAAAATAGTTTGACTAAACTATTTAACTATCATCAGCTTTTACACTTGTAGAAAAAACACATGGTTAATGATTTTTAAATGTATTTATTATTGCTGGTCATTGCTTCATTTATGTCACCGTGCAACACATTTCTTAAAAACTCCCTATGTCTTGATCTCTTTACCTCTAGGTTTCAATCTGAAGAATGACAGAAAACTACAATAACGTCACCCACTGGAATGGCTATGAATACTTCGACTATGAGTATAACCAAAAATTAGATTTCATAAGGCACGTGGTAAGATGCGTCATCATTAGTATCGGCCTTCCTCTGACGCTCATGGTCATCTATGCTCTTTGCTTTCTGGTATGTACATTACATGACTTTATTCATTTACTGTCTGTGCCATGTGTTTGTGGAACAGTCTCAGGATCAGAATCAGATCAACAATCATATTTTGAGAGGTAGACAGTTCTTACTGTGTTAAAGCAGTGTGCATATATTGATGTCACATGAGGAGGGTGATAAGAGCTGAAAGTCCAGGAGGTGTTCACTGAGCCAGGTTTCAGTGAAACACAGGGCAGTGGATCTGCTAAAGTCCGTATTTGTGCTGTCAGGAGCAGCAGCTCGTCCATCTTGTGTGCTACATAAGTAGATGTTTGCCAGGTAAATGGACTAGAGTGCAGAGCACAGTCTGAAGTCTCTGCTGCCTCACAGTTTCATTGCTTCATCAGCGGCGTCTTCAGTAAATCCCATAGAGATCTGCTGCCCCTCCATATGGATCAGGCTCAGGGGCAAGGATTCAGTTGAATTGGAGGGTGTGTTGTAAAGACTTGTACAATTCATTTAGAAATGATTTAATAGATAATTGGTATTACATAGTGCTGCTTTAACTTTTAAAAAATTGAGATTAGTTTTGCAGTTGCTCTTAAACTTGTTAATTATTAAGCCCACGTTTTATGAAGAAAAACATATCAAGGAAATGGAAACATTGTATAAATATTTGTGTTCCTTTTCCTTAAACGATACAAATTCATCAACTTCGTTCTGTGGGATTACTCATTAGCTACTGTGTGCAGCGACCATAAAATACAGTACAAACATTCATGCTGGGCAGAGGCTGAATCTAATAACTTTTGTGATCCCATGTTTTTTAAATTTGGACCTCATCATCAGGTCAAATTGTCCAATTTGGTTTATGACTGACAAACAGTGAAACTAATGCTATTATTATAAACTCTAGCTGTTCGTTGTCTTTAATGCTACTACAAGAATAAAGCAGATTTTTGTCTGCTTACATGCTAAAATGAACTGGCCTAATAGTAAACAGTCGACCAACCTTCATCACAATCTTTTTTAAAGCGCATGAAGATCACATTAGTGTTGTTTGTCATTTAAAGATTATTTTGGGCTTTTCATGCCTTTATCTTTTAGATATAGGACAGTGGACAGAGTAATCAGGGAGAGAGAGAGTGGGGAACCACATGATGGGAAGATCGGATTCAAACCCGTGCTGCCCGCCTAGAGGACAACAGCCTCTGTTCATTGGACGCACGCACTAACCACTTTACTTCGTGCGCCCCCGGATTTTGAACTTTTATCATAATTGAATGTTGTCACCAGTGCACTGTAGCTGTTCCCACTCAACGTTCTTGAAGCGAAAATACGCCGCTTAGGGGCGCTTCCATCTTGCGATTTTGACGTCATTTGGAGCCAGAGTCTGCGCAGTAGAGTCCGGGGGCAGGAGCCCTGGTAACACGCCCCGCCCACTTAGCGTACTGCCCTGATGACTTACGCAGCCCAGCTACGCCGAAAGCGCTCTGCCGGTCTACGATGAAGAAATGTGTAAGTACAACAAACCACTGTATTCAAAGTCTAATATTTAAACACTGTGTTTTTTTTTAAATCCCGCTATTTTGATCATTATTGAAAATACGTGGGCTGCTGTGTCCTCTGTTTTTAACGAAACCGTTCTATATTTATGCTATATTTAAGCTAGGTTAGCACCACAGACCGTAGGCTACAGGTGGTAAGATATGTTGTATTTTGTTAGAAACTGATAGTCTGCAATGTGATTCATGTCTGCTTTTCTAATATATTTAAGTGAATAGTAAATCAATTGTTTTTTGTGTCTTCATTTAGGCAAAGAAGAGATAAAAGCAGCTGGTCTGACATCTTCCACAGAGGTGAAGTGTAAGTTAAAATCATCTGTTAAAAGATATCCTGTGATTTTCTTTTTGAAGTTTCTTAAGAGGATTGTAAAAACAAGCTATTGTTAACAATACAGTCTTCTAAAAATAAAATAAATCATAATATTTTAACAGTCAAACAATCATCCAGGATCTCTTTACTTTATTTGATTTTTGTTTGGATTTCTTTGTTAAATTATTTTTTATACTTTCTCCTATGTCCCAGCAGTTCGACCTGATGGTCTCCCTTACTTATTTTCCACATGGTTAATGAAGCCAGGGGTTGTTTATTGAAGTTTTATTTTTTTCATAAAATGTTTAAATAAACTTTTTAACAATCTGACATGACTGTCTCTGATTAACTGGAGTACAACAAAGTGTTGGTCACAGTAAAATAATTTAGCAGTTAAGTTTATAGTTCACATTTGAAAAGGCCTTGAACTGACATTCATTTCTTCTTGACCAACAACAGCTAAGACAACAGCAAAGCTAACAGACGAGCTCAGCTGGTCTCGTCTGAGATAAATGGCCTTCAAGCATAAGCATAGCAAGATACACATGAGATTCCATTTCCATTTATTCAATCAAAGACTTGTGAAATAGTCTGGCATTTTGTGCTGCTGTTTTCAAGAGTTAACTGAAGAGAAGAACTCCATCGAGAGAGGACAGGAAACATTCAGGGGATGAGTCCTCCATGTTGTCAGGTGTTGTTGATGGATCTGAATCTGAGGGCATCTTCTGTAATAAAGAAAAACAATCATGGAGTTAAATGTAAAGTATAATGAATTATACTGTGATGTTTCTGCCTCAAACCTGAAATGAGATCTGTCCTCAGGTTCTGCTAAACTTCAGCTTCTAAAGTTTGTTTTTAAGACAGGAGAACTATTTATGAGGAAAAACAAAATATATAATAAGACATGATGAATCCAATAATATGATCAGCTTTATGAATTTATGTTTTAAGACAAAAGTGTTCCTGCCACTTTCTATTGAAGATTATTGTAAACTGTCATCACATGGGCCAGCCTGATAAATTAAACTAATGTTAAATATTCTCATATAATCAGACAGCCAATTTGTGTGCAAAACCTCACTGGAGCTGGAATCAGAGTCTGGACTGCTGTTTCCTTTGGGCATTGATTTCCTTGAAGACAGAAAGAAGAACAATTTAAACATGAACTAGACTTCTTGTAGAACCATAGAGGCTCTTAAAATCTTCTGCTAGTCTTCCTTACATTTTAAGATGGATTATAAATTGTTACTAAAATTACTTTGATGCTGATAGCAGTTACAATAACACGGTCCAATCATATGAGAGATCATTTTATCTCTCAGAATCAGCACTGCAAAGACAAGATGATGGCGTCCACCTTCTCAACCTGCTGCTTCTGCTGCTGTTTCCTGTACTAGTCAAGTCTTTGGCCGCACTAGTTTACTAGTAGAACGTTGAAAGACTTACTAGTAAACTAGTAGAAGGCAAAAAGTCCTACATGTTAACTAGTAAGGTGCAAAATATCTACTAGTTAACTAGTAAGATATATTTTGTGTCTACTAGTTAACTAGTGAGCCTAAAAATGTTTACTAGTTAACTAGTAAGAGCAACAATGTCCACTAGTAAGCTAGTTTGACTCTTTTTAACCTTACTTGTAAACTAGTGAGGTTCAAAATGTTTACTAGTTAACTAGTAAGACCCAAATGTCCACTAGTATCACTATTGATGCAGTTACAAATTGTACTTGTTTACTAGCGAGGCTCTTAAAGTCCACTAGTTAACTAGTTAGTGCAAAAAGCCAACTAGTAACACTAGTTCAGGACATTTTAGTGCTACTAGTGAACTAGTGAGGCTCAAAATGGTTAACTAGTTATCTAGTAAGAGCCAAAATGTCACTAGTTACACTAGTAGTACTCTTTTTGGCATAACTAGTTAACTACTACGGTTTTAAATGTTAACTAGTACTACTAGTGAAAGCCAAAATGCGTACTAGAAACACTGGTTGAAGTACATGCTAATGAGTGGGTGGGATCAGGGCACTCTCTGAACCTTATCATTGGTTCTCCATATAGACCTCCACCTTCCACAAATTTAACCCTTTGTAAGAAAGAGCAAGTGCTGTGAAGCAACGGCTTCTTCCCTACTTTCCATGGAGAGTAAAACATGAAAATTATATATATATTAAATGTTAGAATTGTTTTTTAAACTTAAAATAAGATAGAAGCTCATTTTAGAACTGTTCTCATGATTTCCTTTTTCCTTTTTTATCCCATCAAGACAGTATTTACAGAAAACATAAGAAAGAGTACATCTTGAGGTCAGTAGAGTGATAAAAAACTGCCCAAGGTGCAATTGTAAGTTAAAAATGAATGTGTAAATATTTCATATAAATTCATGCTGTTCTTAAAAAGGAAAAAAGTTAATCAGATAAAATTATGGACTTTAAAACAACTGGAACTTGATACAGAATTTATGTTCTTGTACTTAATACGTTTTAATTTGGCCTAAAGTCGGTAAACTAAGAAAAATAAAGGGATTCAAGATTAGGGCCACATAAAAGGAAAAAAACCTAAAATTTAGAGATTCAAATAGTTAATTTATGAGAATAAAGTAAAATGTACAGATTAATTTCTTGTTTAAGTCTATATCAGAAGAGCAGCAGCCGCCTGTTCGAAAATGATAAACGTGGATGCATCTTGTTATAGTAAAGGTTTAACAAATAAGGAAATAGGCTCCTTCCTTGTGTAGTCTGTAAAAACAGTTGGACAAATATATCCGATAAGTTGTTTTATCGGCAAATCATCATCACAAATAAAATATCAGGACCCTGAAAAGATACTGGAAGCAACTGTAACTTTTGTGGCAGAGGAAAATGCTTTAGGGGTTCTCCTTTCATCATTTATGCGCAGGCGGAAGGCTTCTCTATGATAGGCTACAACCTAAAAATGTACATTTTCGTAAATTTATGACTTTATTCTCCTAAATTTACATGTTTATTCTCGTACATATACAAGATTAATCTCAAATATTTTCTTTTTTTTTCTTTAAGATGGCTCTACTCCATCGTATAAATGAGCCCTAAAAATGTAATTTTATTATGTAAAATGAAGGTTAAAAATTGTTGCACTAGTAGCACTAGTCACACTAGTCGCACTAGTCGTACTAGTCGTAGACAGAGACAGAGA